GATGAGGAGGAGAGGAGGAGGAGGAGGAGTCCGGGACGAGAAGGAGGAGGAAAAAGGGGAGGAGGAAGAGGAGGGAGGACGACGAGGAGGTGGAGGGGAAGGGGGGGGGAGAAAGAGGAGGAGGAAAAGGATGAAAAGGAGGAGGAGGAGGAGGAAGAAGATAAATAAGATGACGAAGACGAATAATAATAATAATAATAATAATAATAAGAATCATACTACGAAGAATACGAATCATAATAATAAGAATAACAAGAATAATACGAATTCTAATAATAATAATAAGAACAATAATAATACTACTAATAATAAGGATAATAATAATGATAATGATAATAACAATAATAATAATAATACTAATAATGCTAATAATAATAATACTAATAATAATAATAACAATAATAATACTAATAATAATAATAATACTAATAATAATAATATTAATAATACTAATAATACTAATACTAAGAAGAATAATAAGAATAATAAGAAGAGGAGGAGGAGGAGGCGGAGGAGGAGGCGGAGGAGGAGGAGGAGGCGGAGGAGGAGGAGGCGGAGGAGGCGGAGGAGGCGGAGGCGGAGGCGGAGGTTGAGGCGGAGGAGGAGGCGGAGGCGGAGGCGGAGGCGGAGGCGGAGGCGGAGGCGGAGGCGGAGGCGGAGGCGGAGGAGGATGAGGAGGAGGCGGAGGAGGAGGAGGAGGAGCGAGGAGGAGCGAGGAGGAGCGAGGAGGAGCGAGGAGGAAGGTGCTGGGCACGATGTGGCACGCGGACGCCTCGAACGCCCTCTACACCGACCTCGGGGACACGGCGCCCACCGCCGCTTCTCCCCTTCCCGTCGCGTCGGCCCGCCTCGTCCATGAGGAGAGAGAGAGAGAGAGAGAGAGAGAGAGAGAGAGAGAGAGAGAGAGAAAGAGAGAGGAAGAGATGGCGCGAGCAGAGAGAACAAAGAAACAGGTACACGCTGGACCCCCAGATGCTCGGGAAGCCTCGACGACGACCCAACAGGCCCCAAGACGAGCCCCGCGAGGCGTCGATATCATTCCCCCGAACCGTGCTTCTACTTCGGGGTTCTCACTCTGCTTCTAAGGTACTTGGGCTCCTGCGCCGCTCCGGACAGCTTGTGGCCGCCCGTCGCCGCCTGCCGCCGCCGTCGCTGCTGGGCCCCGGTGGCCGATGCGGCAGGCTCGTGGCCGCCTTTCGGATTGCCGCCCCTTCGCTGCCGTTGCCGCTGGGCCCCAGGGGCGGTCCAGCCAGCCCGTTTCCGCCCGTCGCGCGTTGCAGTCGCATGCTGTACTGCGTTGCTTCGTGTTGCTTTGCTTTTTGCTTTGCACCGCACAGCTTGCATCACACATGTTGCACCACTTAGATTGCACTACGGAGCTTGACCACGTAGCTTGCACCATGTGATTCGTTGCGTGCATGACTGGTGCTCTAGGGTAAGGTGGCTCCGAGGTAGGCCCCACAGGTTTCCAAGACGGTCCGTGGGGCTTCTGCGAATCTCCGAGACGGTCCTGGAGGCCTCCACGAATGCCCAAGACCACCCCAAGAGCACCCCTTAACAGCTTTCACTCGAGCAATTGGTTCAACTAAGTTTTCGCAACTGCCTCTGGCGCATACGTGTTGCCTCTAGAAGTTTTCTCTTGGCTGTAGCGCTCGTGCTTGCCATGTCCTGCTTCGCTTTCATCTGCGGCGGTGGCCAGCTCGGCCTGCCCATGCCCAAGAAGTTCACCTACTTTAACCTCAAGACGCCCGTCGGACTTCCGAGCATGTTCGCCTTAGAGGTATCAGGTAAGCGGTACTGCGGGCAAGCAGTGCAGTTATCCGAGTGGGAGGGGCTGAAGCCGAAGACGCCAAATGGCCAGTTGCCTTTCGCGGAGATGCCAGACGGCTCTGCCATTGGCGAGAGCGGTGCCATCGGACGCACGATTGCGGGAGCGGGGGGCCTCTTGGGCACTGGCAAAGAATACATCATGTCTGAGATGCTTTGCGGTATCTCCAGCGACTTCAACAAGAAAGCGATGGACGTGGGGGCCCCCTCAATTTTCACGGTGGGGTCATTCGATGCTTCCAAAAAGAGTGCCTACAAGGAAGGCAAGGCCAGTGTGATCGAGTTCGTGGAGACCAAGTACAGCCACTTCTTGTTGCCAAGTGGCGACCGCTTCACGAAGTCTGGGCTCAGTTTCGGCGAACTTGACCTCTTCAGCAAGATGTATTGCCACGTGAACGGAGCGTACCCCGAAATCGCGAAGGGCAAATTGGAGAAGTTCTACCAGCGCATGTCTGAGACGCCTGGCATTAAGAAGGTTCTCGACGGGAAGTCGCAATTCGGCGAGCTTGGTGCTTATTTGATCCCCATGCCGGCTTGAGGAATCGGCAGGTCGTTGAGCTTCTGTTAGAGAATCTGTTTTCGACCGTAAGTGTCGCACAGTCGCTACATGGCGGTCTCAGCTTTGATACCCATGATGTCAGCATCAGCGGAAAGAAACACGCAGCCAGAAATAACCCCAACCAAACATGGCCCTGATGAAATCAGAGGATGTTCCCTTCCTAGCTTACTTTTCTGGCCTACATCTTGCATGATCATGGGCGCGCGTGCCGCCTGTGAGACTCCCTCCGTCGGGGCCCGAGAATTTGCCTCTTGAGCCCCTCCTGGAGCTCTTTCGGGGTGCGGCGGGGCCCTCTTCGGGTTTTTGATGGTTCCTCGCAAGGCCTCAGAAGCCCATCTGAGACAAGAGTGCTGGAAGGCTGGCGTCCTCCTCTTTCTCCTCCGCTTGAGCTTCTTAGCTGGCATTTCCCGCAAACTTGGCGCACCGATTCCTCGACGCACATGGTTGGGGTGCTGTCGAGCCGACCCGGGTCAATGATTTGGGTGACTCATTCAGTAGCGTTTCAGTGCCGCTTGCTTGGATCACCTCGGGCAGTCCGCATTTGTTGTTATTAAAGAGAACGTGTAGACCAACCGTTGTATTTTGACTTGTTCTAGCCTCGCGGTGCCATCATCGGCAGGTTCCGTGGCCACCTCGGGCTGTCTTATGGCGGTCGTGGGGCTTCTGGGAGGCGTGCTGGAGGTCATCTTGAACCAGGTTGGAACATCTTGCACGATCTTGGGGGCCGGTTTGGGTTATCTGGGACTATTGGAGTCAAGTGGGGCTAAATGGGATCTCTGACACCCCGCGGTCTCCTTTTCCAGCTCCCCCTCCTCACTCCTTGCATCCCTGCCTCTGCCCTCCGCACCAATTGCAGCGTCTCGTGGCCCCATAGGAAGCTCCACCGAAGGCCCCAGTGGAAGCGCCCGCATGCAGTTCCACTTCAATTTCGGTGGCGCATGCAGTTCCACCGAAGGTCCCAGTGGCGCAGCCCCCACGCGTCTCCCACACCCAGTACAGCGTTTCGCGGCCCCATAGGGAGCTCCACCTAAGGTCCCAGTGGCGCAGCCCGCATGCGTCACCCCCACCCAGTATAGCCTTTCGTGGCCCCATAGGGAGCTCCACCGGAGGCCCCAGTGGCGTCGCCCGCATGCAGTTCCACCCTCAATTTCGGTGCACACCTCACACGTTTCGTGGCCCCATAGGGGGCTCCACCCAAGGTCCCAGGTGTAGCGCACGCATGCATTTCCACCCCCAGTCCAGCACAACTCTTTGCACGTTTCGTCGGCCCATGGGGAGCTCCACCTAAGGCCCCAATGGCAGCGCCTGCATGCAGTTCCACCCGTTATTTCGGTGCACCGCTCACGCGGTTCGTGGCCCCATAGGGAGCTCCACCGACACGGAAGGCCCCCAGTGGCAGCGCCCGCATGCGGTTCCACCCCCATGTCGGTGCACCCTTCACACGTTTCGTGGCTCCATAGGGAGCTCCACCGAGGGATGCTTGCACAGCACAGTGGTGCATCCCAGCGCGGCCGATCCGATTCGATCGCGCCTTCGTGCCGATGCGGCCCGAGCCGATGCACATTCCAATGCGATCCGATCTGCCGATTCGATGCCTCCTCTCGGCCCAGCGTGGGGGCGCCTCCGCGGAACGCAGCGACACGCTGCCCGCCTGCAAGGCACAGCGCGCCGCCAGGGCCGCCGCCGCGACGCGCTGAGCAGCGACGCGCGCGGCTCTCTCCCCCCCTGCCTCCTCCTCCTCCCTCTCCTCCTCTTCCCGCTCCTTCTCCGCCTCCTCCTCCTCCTCCGCCTCCTCCTCCTCCTCCTCCCTCCTCCTCCTCCTCCTCCTCCCTCCTCCTCCTCCTCCGCCTCCCTCCTCCTCCGCCTCATCTTCCTCCTCCTCCGCCTCCCTCCTCCTCCTCCTCCTCCTCCTCCTCCTCCATGTCTTCTCCTTGTCGCACCCCAAGGCTAGTTTTTAGGGCGGGCCGGGCGTTTCGCCTGAGTTTTTTCTTCTCCAATTTATGAGTTTGAAGCTTACTAGATGGCAGCAATTTCACAGATGGAGGGCGGGCCGTTCTCAGCATGTGGCTCTTGCTTTAGCGCCGCGCACATTCGCTGTAAATTGAAGGAGGTTCACGCGTGGAGGGCAGGTGGTTTTCAACATTTGGCTCTCGCCTTAGCGCCGCGTACATTCGTTTTAAACATGTGCAGGAGTTTCGCGGATTGAGGGCGGGTGGTTTTCAAAATGTGGCTCTCGCCTTAGCGCCGCGCACATTCGCTTTAGAAGATTACAAGAGTTTCACGGGTTGAGGGCGGGTGGTTTTCAAAATGTGACTCTCGCCTTAGCGCCGCGCACATTCGCTTTAAGAAAATTGCAGGAGCTTCCTGGATTGAGGGCGGGCCGTTTTCAAAATGTGGCTCTCGCCTTAGCGCCGCGTGCATTTGTTTTAAACATGTGCAAGTGTTTCACGGAGTGAGGGCGGTTCCTTTTCAGAATGTGGCTCTCGCCTCAGCGCCGCGCACATTCGTTTGCAACATATGCAAGAGTTCCACGGCTTCCCATGATCAGCGTACCAGAAATGGTGTTTTGGATGGATTCAGGACATGCGGGTGCAACAGTTATGTTGATTCGCAGCATTGAAGTCCCAAACATGGCGCTCTGGCACGATTCTGCATCGTCAAGACGCATCAGTCAGGTTGATACGTGGCGTTGAAATCCCGAGAACAATGTTTTGGCATACTTCAGGATCTTCAAACGGTTGCCTTCCAATGAGGCAGTTCCCTCAATGGAGATGAATGGTTGTGGGGGCCTATGAAGAGGGAGCTTGGAGGGAGGGTTAACTCTAGACGCTTCGCGTAACCCCACCAGCGTGCGTTTGCCTTAATGCGGAGCGTTTTGCTCAGTGCATGTGCACTCCACGCATCGCGTGTAATTTGCCGTGTTCCGTCGCCCCGGACATCGCTGTTGCCGGCTGACCTTTGCCGCGCGGCCGCCGACCAAAAAAGTAACCCCACCAGCGCCGGCCGGCCTGCGCCTGTCTTAGCTAATTCGCCTAGTTCGCGTCCTGGACTTTGCTTTCGCCGCCTGACCGTCGTCTCGCGGCCGCGACCGAAAAAAGTAACCCCACCAGCGCAGTGCAGCTTCCCAGCAGTTGCTGTCAGCCCCCCTCCGCTCGCCGGCCTGCCCGCCGAGGTGCTGCTTGAGGCTCCGGCCCACCGCTTTAGGTTAATTCGTCTTTGCGCGGCCCGCTCTGACTGGACTCGCCGCTGGCGCTCTCGCCTGCGGCCGCTGACTAAAAAGTACCCCCACCAGCCCATCCAGAAACGATGCCCAGAGGAATTGCCTCGATCAGGGAAGTGGGCAGCACACAGAGGACGGGTCCCCCAGTTGAGGCCTCTTGGAGCGTCTTGGGTGCCTCGGAGAGCGTCTCTTGAGAGCATCTTGGAGGCCTCTTGGGCGCCTGTTAGGGCCTCCTGGGCGCTTCTTGGGGCCCTCTTGAAGCGCTCTTGGGGGCCTTGGGAGCGCTCTTGGGGCCATCTTGGAGGACACCGATCAAACAAGCAGCGAGCATCAGTTAGCGTTGCCCCTCGGGAGCCCCAAACATCGCTTCTTGGGGCGCTCTTGGGGCGCTCTTGGGGCCGTCTTGCGGCTCTCTAAAGCCTCTCTTGGGGCCCCCTTGGGCCATCTGGGAGCTATCTTGATGCCTCGGATGGCCATCGGAAGCGGGAAGGCGAGAAAACCAAGCACATAGATGTTCGTAAGGTTTTGGCTTCTTCGGGGCCTCCTGGGGGAGCTCTTTGGCCACTTGGAGCCGTCTTGGGGCGGTTTTGGGGCATCTTGGAGCATCGTGGGAGCCATTATGAGACATCTTGGAATACCTTGAGCCACCTTGGCGGTCATCTTAGGCTCCCCCAGGCGTTTTTGGAGTCATCTTAATCAGTGCCCCCCCCAAGAGGCCAACGTGTAGCTAAAAACTTGGTAAAATCAATGAGCATTCTCGCCGAGGCCTCTTGGAGCATCTTGGGTGCCTCTGGGGGGTCTCTTGGGGCCTCTTGGAGGTCTCTTGGGAGCCTCTTGGGGGCATCCTGGGGGCCTCTTGGGGCTTCCTGGCCACTTCTTGGGGCCCTCATGGGGCACCCTTGGGAGCCTTGGGGGCCATCTTTGGCCCATCTTGGGTGAGATCGATCACAGGAGGGGGGGCCACTACTTAGGATCCCCCTTCAGGAGGCCAAAATGGGGCCCAAATCGTTGTAAAACAAATGATTTTGGCTTCCTCGCCGAGGCAGGCCGTTTTGGACGCTCCGACGACTCGCGGACCCCCCTGTCCAGGTCCAGGGGGGGGGGTAGGGGGAGGGGTCAAGTTACCCCCTCCCCGCCCGCAAGCCGCCTCGCTCACTCCCACCCGCCCTCCCGACACATACGTAGCACCCGAGCCTGGCCCGAGCCTTAGCATATTCAGCAGTCGTCTTTTGATGGGCAGCTACTGGGGGCGAATCCTCCGCCGCCGCCGCCGCCCGCCGCCGCCGCCGCCGCCGCCGCCGCCGCCGCTGCCCACCGCCGCCGCCGCCGCGCTGCCCGCCGCCGCCGCCGCCGCCGCCGCCTGCCGCCGCCCGCCGCCGCCGCCGCCGCCGCCGCCGCAGCCCCCCGCTGCCAAACCGCCGCCGCCGCGCCGCAGCCGCTGCCGCCACCGCCACCACCGCCGCCGCCGCCGCCGCCGCCGCCCCCGCCGCCGCTGCCGCCGCCCCCGCCGCCGGTGCCGCCGCCGCCGCCGCCGCCACCGCCGCCGCCGCCGCCGCCAAGTGTACTTTGTATTGTTTCTTGACAGGGATGGTGGGGGGGGGCCGCATCGGGTTGGCTGCGCATGTTCCGAATTTGGAGGCAGAGTGTGTGTGTTTGAATTGTTTTTTGCAAGGGATGGTGTGTGGGGGGGTCGGCATGGACCCTGGTTGGCCCCCGGTCGCCCGGGGGAGGGGGTGTTTATTTATAGGGAACAGTGATAAACCTTTCCCCGAAGGGGAAGAAGGAGGGGTGGAAGAGGAAACGCCCTAAACCACCGACGCCCAGAGGGCTGGTGGGATTCCAACATCGTTGATGACTCTTGGTTCTACACTGGTCCTCCTCCTTCTCCTCCTCCTCCTCCTCCTCCTCCTCCTCCTCCTCCTCCTCCCCATCTTGGCTCCTCGACTTTCGGCCCACCACCAGGGGGGGTGGCGCCCCCAGAGGTGCTGGCCGCTTCCCCGTCCGCCAGGGCCGCGGTCGCCGTGCGCCGGACCTGCTCGGAGGGCCTGCCGGCGATGCTCCTCGCGGCAGGGGGGGGGTCCTGCAGGGAGAAGGAGGGGCCCTTCCCAGTCTACGGCCGGGAAGTTTTGGAAATACACATCGTGTCGCGCCGCCAGTTGTGGCCGGTCCACCACGCTTCTGCGCGACACGCTATCCACTTTCCAGTCCCCGAGCGACAAGGTCCCGAGCCTTTCCGAGCTTCCGCCCCGCGAAGCGGAGCGACACGCTGTCCGCATGCAAGGCGCAGCGTGCCGCAGGAGCCGCCGCGGCGACACGCTATGCAAAGGTTCCCGACCGTAGGCCCCTCAGATAGGGTCAGAACAGATGGCGCCGCATCGCCGATGCGGCTCGATGTGGAACCCGATTTTCTCCACGCCGCACCGCCGACGTCGCTGATGCATCACCGATGCATCGCCAGTGCACCGGCGATGCGGCGCGATCTTTCAACCCCACCAACTCGGACTCCACTGTGGAGGTATCTATCTCGCCAGGGGAGGCAGAGATACCGATACCGCTGCTCGTCCCGGAGAGCCCCTGGCGCCACGGCTGAATTCTCCTCGGAATCCGAGCACCCCTGGAGAGGTCCGTGGGCGAGCGGTGTCGGCATGTGTCTGTGCCCACTGTAGGATCGAGCTGGGCGGGGCGAAGCAAGGTGCGAGGTTCGAGGTTCCAGGCTCTCAGACGCTTGCGTCAAGTTTGCCGGGCTCGGGATGCTGCTCAGCGGCTGCGCATCGCCGGAGGCGTTCCGGGGTGCCCCGATTGTCCCGAGCGGCCGCTGGAGCCCCGAGACATGAGGTCGAAGGCCAGCAGGGCGGTCAGGGGAAGGGGAGGAGAGGAGCGGGCTTCGGGGGTCGAGGCAGGGAGGGAGATGGGGCCCTCCAGGTCGAGCCTCGAGGATCGGGCCTCGGGGGTCGAGGCAGAGAGAGGGATGGGGCCCCACCAGGTGCGTCGGCGCGGCTGGATCCGCCCTGAAATCAGGACCAGGACGCCCTGCGGGACGGATCGGGGGGTCGATTTCGTGGAGGAGGGGCCCTTCAGATCGGGGCAACGCAAAAAGTGTGACGGTCTTTTTTGTTTGGTTGTTTGGTTGTGTATCTGTACATGTATGTATGTATGTATGTATGTATGTATGTAGGTAGGTAGGTAGGTAGGTCGGTAGGTAGGTAGGTAGATATGTATGTATGTATGTATGTATGTATGTATGTATGTATGTATGTATGTATGTATGTATGCATGCATGCATGCATGCATGCATGCATGCATGCATGTATGTATGTATGTATGTATGTATGTATGTAAGTATGTAATTATGTATGTATGTATGTATGCATGCATGCATGTATGTATGTATGTATGTATGTATGTATGTATGTATGTATGTATGTATGTATGTATGTGTGTATATATATATATAGATAGATAGATATATATGTATGTATGTATACCGAAAATCCAGCCCAGGGGGCCCTGGGGCCAAAGCCCACCAGGGGCCCCCAGGGTGCACTTGGGGCCTCCTCCTCTCCCGGAGCCTCCCCAGGGCATCCCTGCCTCGGGATCCTCGGTAGAAGTTCTGGATGTTCCAGATGGCTTCCAGACTGCTCCAGGATGGCCCAAGATGGCCTCAAGACGGCCCAAGAGGACCCCACGACGCTCTTTCTTTTTCTTCCGAGGGTAGGCTCGAGGCGTTTCGAGGTGTGCGTGTGTGAGACTTCGTCCACGTGCGAACGTACGCTTAATTCTGGGTATTTTCCGTGGTACAGTTTGCGGTTATCTTCGCCGCTCCTACAGCCAAGGGTCTGACATGCCCCTCCTTGTACGCCTGCTTGCACATGGTCCTGTCTTCCCTGCCCAGGGACTCCATCAGGTCGTTGGGGAGAGGCTCTACGGCTCCAAGAGAACCTCCTCGAGGGCCCCAAACGTTAAGAACCGCTTCATTTCCTTAAGACAAGTCGTATGTTTGTCATATTCATTTGTTTGTCCCACCAGCGTCTCAGGCGGCTCCGAGAGACCCCCAAGAGTGCCCCAAGACCACAGAAGAGGCCCCCAAGAGGGCCCCAAGAAACCCAGGAAGGTCCCAACGCGGCCCGCGAGGCGCCTGAGACGGCCTAAAAGCGCTTCAAGAGGGCCCCGAGATGCCCACAATAGGCTCCCAAGCACCCCAGAGCGGCCCTCCGATCGCCCTCGGCGCCAAGGTGGCCCCCAGAGCATCCCAGCGGTCCCCAAGAGGCCCCCAGAGTCCCCCAAGAAGCCACCAATGAAGCCTTCTAGAGGCGCCCAGTAGACGCCCAAGTGGACCTCCTGAGTCCCACGAGCTGGCCCCGTAGAGACTAGAAGATAGTTTAGTCACGTCTCAAATCGAAGACACCTCCATTCCAGAAGGTATACACACCAAGTGTATAAACAGGCACTCTCCCCACCATTTCTCCTGATCCTCTTTATCCTACTGCTCGTGCCTCCTTCCCCTCTCCCTTCCCCACCCCTCCCTCCTTTTCCCTGCTTCCTCCTTCCTTTTCCCTCCAGCCTTCCTCTCTCACTCTCGTGCTCTCCTTCATTTCCTGCTGCCTTCTCCTCCATCCATCCTCCGTCTTTCCTGCTCCATGCTTGTCCTCCTCCTCCCCGCTCCCTCCTCCTCCCATCTCTCCTCCTCCTCCTCCTCCTCCTCCTCCGCCTCCTCCGCCCCCCCACTTCCTCCTCCCCCTCCTCCCTCCGAGCCCCCCTAGGAGACTTCCAGAGCTGTGCAGAAATTCCAAGAGGGCCCCACGACGGTCCCATGAGGCCTCCAGGCTGCCCCAGGATGTCTCCAGCAGTATAATGAGGCCCTAGGAGACGTCCAGAGTGCCCACACAGGGTTTCCAAGAGACCCTAATCAGTCAAAACCAAGTTCTTCTCTAGAATTGCCATTTCTTTCAAAAGTGTGGCTCCAAGGTGGCCTCGGAGGCCCCAAATTTCTCGAAGAGAGTTGCACTATTGCCCACGGATGGTCCAGGACAGCTGCACATACCACGCTTCAATGCGACTTCAGACACCATCGCGTGGCCTTCCAAGCCAAGGACCTGATCATCCAGGCACGGCGACGCGCTATACGATTGGCCCCATGGCAAGTAGAGCTTGAGCGCGCGCGAAGCGCGCGATGGTTCTAGTACACATATGCATGTGTATATCTTTATGGACATAGCTGTTTATATGAATATATATATATATATGCATACACACATATATATACATATACATATACATATACATATACATTTACATATAAATATACATATACATATACATATACATATACATATACATATACATATACATATACATATACATACACATGTACATATACATATATATACATATACATATACATATACATATACATATCCATATACATATACATATACATATACATATACATATACATACACATATACATACACATATACATATACATATACATATGCATATGCATATACATATACATATACATATACAAATACATATACATATGTATATACATATACATATACATATACATATACATATACATATTCATATACATATATACATACATATACATATACATATACATATATACACATACATATATATATATATATATATACTTATATATATATATATATATATATATATACCGGAGTACGTCGGAGGGGGGCAAAACTGGTGCCATCATTCCCCATGGGCGCCCCCCCGAACTTTTGGGGGTCACAGACCCCGCGGGACTGCCCCGGGCCGCTTCCAAATTGCCCACGACTGGCCACGCGGGCCGTACAGATGGTCAAGAAAGCCTCGAGAGGCCCCGAAGACGCCCAAGAGCGCCCCAAGAGGGCCCGAGATGGCTTGAAGATGGCCGACGAGGGCCCTAAGAGGGCCTACAAGAGGCAAACATCAGTCCATTCCCTTTCGTAAGACGTGCATTTTCAGCATACTCGCTGGCTTCGTCTTCGCAGTGCCCCAGACTCCCCCGTGGAGCCCCAACACAGCCCAAAAGAGACCCAAGAGGGCCCCAGTCGGCCCAAAAGGGTTGGCCTGTGGGGCTCACGGAACCCCCCGAGACGGCCCAAGAAACCCCAAAGCCGGCCCAGGAGGCCCCCAAGACGGCCTCAGGGAGGCCCAAGAGGGCCTCGTTCGAAATCATGTTCCCGACAGCCTCTCCAGGAGCATCATTTCCGGCTTCCGAGGACGCCCAAGAGGCCCACAAGACAGCCTCAGCGAGGCCCAAGAGGGCCCGAGATGGCTTCAAGATGGCCGAAGAGGGCCCCGAGAGGGCCTTCAAGAGGCATTGGAAGTGTTAAGCACGATGTTGTTAGTTGATGTCTCGGGGGAGGGCCGTCTTGAAGGTCGCAGCGTCTCTCGCTTCGCGGCCTTGATTGCTCAAGCGGAGGCGCGTGCCCATGTGGCACCGCGCAGCCGACTGGTTCGGGACAGGCGTGATCTCCCATCTCAGCCGCTGTCCAGCGCCACCGGCTTGCCCAGAGCGCCCGCCATACACTTGCCAGCGGACGTGCCCCTCGGTGCCCAGCTGCCCTGCCTGCCCGGGGGCTCCGTCGCCGGGACCGCTCTCCTGCCCAGAGCCTCCCGCCTGCGCAGCGGCCGAGGCGCCGGCTGGCGGCTTCGCGGCGGACGCGTGGCTCGTGACAGGCCTCCTCGTGCTGCTCCTGGCGGTGTCCGCAGCTGCCTGCGCGGCGCTCGGAGTGAGAGCCTGCGTATCTCGGCTCTTCGGTCCTTCTCGCCGCAATGGCGTCCAGGGCCGTGCAGCTCTGGGCATGGATCTTGCACAACGGGGACCGCGAGTGGCAGCAACGTCGAGACTTGGGCCGCTTGCAGCCACTGGGGATGAATCCAGTTAATGATCTTCTCCTGGCGTGCGTCACGCCAGACGCGGACGTCTACTTCGAGTTGCTCGACGGCGCGAGCAGTGACTACCAGGCGGTCAGGTTCTCCTCGGATCGGCGGACGATCCCAGCGGGCATCGATCGGGCCCAGACTTATCGGTTCAGGCGCGAGCCCATTG